TTATACCAGGCAAGGTTTGGGTGAGTTCCAGTTGAAATTTGTGTGTAACAGGGACAAATTTCAATTTTTTTTGGGACCTGCCAACTCTGCTGGTTCGCGTGAAAAGCTTCCTCCAGCCCTAAATGACAACCCAATGATAACAATTTAGGGCTGGGTAACTCCAGCTAAGAGTGTGGTAGCAAGAGACCCTAAAAAAAGGGCCTCTACAAAAATGTTCCATTTTCACCTCTCCCACCCCAGATTCCATGGACATACCTCACACCATTCAGCAGTCATTCACGAAGCTAATGATCGACTTGAAACAGAACCAAAAAAAAAATGTGTAAATTGTTGACGATTTTGGCGGCTTGTCCATAAAAACCGTCCAGTTCCAACAGCTGTTGTCTATCTTGTTTACTTAATTATGCAAATGAATGCATCACGTGATGATTATCGGAAAAAAATTGCGCGATGTATGTGGGTACCACACCGCTTTCAAGCGCCGGGTTCAATTTTCGTCTGGTGCATTGTCTTGCTTTCCACGACTGCTTTTCACGACAACGCACCAGACGAAAATTGAACTACTAGCGGCGCTTGAAAGCGGTGTGGTACCCACATACATCGCGCAAATTTTTTCCGATAATCATCACGTGATGCATTCATTTGCATAATTAAGTAAACAAGATGGACGACAGCCGTTGGAACTGGACGGTTTTATGGACAAGCCGCCGAAATCGTCCCGAAAGTGGTGTGGTACCACACCGCTTTCAAGCGCCGCTAGTAGTTCAATTTTCGTCTGGTGGTTGTCGTGAAAAGCAGTCGTGGAAAGCAAGACAATGCACTAGACGAAAATACAACCCGGCGCTTGAAAGCGGTGTGGTACCCACATACATCGCGCAATTTTTTTCCCGATAATCATCACGTGATGCATTCATTTGCATAATTAAGTAAACAAGATGGACGACAGCCGTTGGAACTGGACGGTTTTTATGGACCAGCCGCAGAAATCGTCAACAATTTTCACATTTTTTTTTTTGGTTCTGTTTCAAGCCGATCATTAGCTTCGTGAATGACTGCTGAATGGTGTGAGGTATGTCCATGGAATCTGGGGTGGGATTATAGAGGTGAAAATGGACCATTTTTGTAGAGGCCCTTTTTTTAGGGTCTCTTGCTACCACTCTCTAACGAATAGGTTATGTCTCCAGCGCTACATGTGAATGAATATGGAGCATGTCAGCTGGAGTTACTCAAGCTATCCTAGTCCCATAAATGTGACTGAAATACTGGACTACCTCCGTATATCAGTCACAGAGCCACGTACGGCCTGTGAGCGGAGCGTCCCGTTGATAGGGGAGCCGAAAATTAATTAAAGATCAAAATTATTTTGTCAGCAGAAAATCAACCCAGCTATAATATGACTGCTAAATAGCACAAAATCGTTAAATTTGGTACCTTCAGAGGTCTAGTTATCCAAAAATCATGGTAATTCGTCAAAGAATGCAGACAGTTTTGAGCAAGCATGGCGTCGCTGATATGTTTCCCGGCCACCCTAATAATAGCCAAGAGGCCAAAAGGTACCCCTTGAACTATGGGTATTACTTGTAATACCCATAGGTAGGCATATCAATGCGAACATGCTGTATACTACACGAATATCAATCAACCTGCCAGCATGTTGTCCTGTGAGTTTTGGAGTGACCGCAGTATATTTGTACCCCAAGACCTATGCCCAGTACTTCTTGACATACTCACGTTCAAACCGCTAACAAGTATGAGGGTTGAATTGATCCCGATGGTGCAAAACATGATGAAAACGGTCCCCGTTCCGTACCGAAGCTACAGCTTGAGTTTTAACGTGCACGCGAAGCGTTGTTGGCGTGACCACAGACACTGTCTTTATAGTGCATATCGCGGGCGGCGTCAGACGAGCCAATCACGAGACCACGTGGTAAACGCCGCTAATAATTTGGGAACGCACTTACGATCCAGACATGAGGAGTGCCCGGAGCGTCAGTGCGATACCAAATTATCCGCATCTTTAATTAATTTTCGGCTCCCCTAGCAACGGGACGCTCCGCTCACAGGCCGTACGTGGCTCTGTGACTGATATACGGAGGTAGTCCAGTATTTCAGTCACATTTATGGGACTACATAAATGTTAGCTTGAGTAACTCCAGCTGACATGCTCATAATCATTCACATGTAACGCTGGAGACATAACTAGGGAGTTAGAGTGTGGTAGCAAGAGACCCTTCCAGAATGGCCTCCCAAAAATTGTCCTTTTTCACCTCTAATATCCCACCCCAGATTTCATTTACATACCTCTAGTCCCACTAACTGGGGCGCTAGAACTCCTTTTTTGACATTTGGGATGTTGGTCTGTCGTACTAGCGTCCCACTACGGAAGTATTGTCAATGTTACAATTTCAAAGTTCACCACAAAAATCATGCAAAATACTTGCCAAAATACCTTTGAAAGCACCTACTGGCATTTCCACATGTCAAAGACGAAGTAATGGGGCTTCAATGATACTCACAAATATTTTTTGGGTTGAAAATCCGTGAAATTCAACCACTTTTGAACAGACATCATACAGCGATCATTCAAAAACGTTATGGCTTTTATCTACAAACGCATTGTCTATGGTAGTATGGACGTACATCATGTACACATACAAACACGCACGTGAAACAGGGGCCGGGACACGACCACGACCAGTGCTGAAAAACAAACTCCGAATGTAGATCGGGGGATGCGCCTACGACTGTATTCTTGTACCGCGCCTTGTCATGAAACAGTCGTAGGCGCATCCCCCGATGGCACTGGTCGTGGTCGTGTCCCGGCCCCTGCTTCACTAGTACGATGCTAGTACGACAGACCAACATGTCAAAAAGGGAGTTCTAGCGCCCCAGTTAGTGGGACCTACCGGTACATACCTCATACCTTCAGCAGTCATTCACGAAGCTAATGATCGACTTGAAACAGACCACACAAAAAAACAAATGTGAAAAATCTTGACGATTTCGGTGGCTTGTCCGTAAAAAAACGTCCAGTTCCAACGGCTGTCGTCCATTTTGTTGGTTAATTATGTAAAGTTATGCATGCATCATGTGATGACATCGAAAAAATCTACGCGCAAGTGGGTTTAGTTTTCGTCTGGTTCCTTGTCGCTGAAAGCAAGACAACGAGAATGCTTTCCACGACAAGACACCAGACGAAAATTGAATTCACTTGCGGCACCAGAAAGCGGTGTGGTACCCACATACATCGTGCGCGCGCAGATTTTTTTTTGATGTCATCACGTGATGCATGCATTTACATAATTAACCAACAAAATGGACGACAGCCATTGAAACTGGACATTTTTTTACGGACAAGCCACAGAAATCGTCAAGATTTTTCACATTTGTTTTTTTGTGTGGTCTGTTTCAAGTCAATCAGTAGCTTTGTGAATGACTGTTGAATGTATGAGGTATGTAAATGAAATCTGGGGTGGGATATTAGAGGTGAAAAAGGACAATTTTTGGGAGGCCATTTTGGAAGGGTCTCTTGCTACCACACTCTAGCTCCCTAGTTATGTCTCCAGCGCTACATGTGAATGATTATGAGCATGTCAGCTGGAGTTACTCAAGCTACATAAATGTGGCTAATTTACTGGACTACCTCCGTAAATAAAGGCCAACTTCCATTATGTACAAAAACATGTCGAACTTTGTCAAATTTTGATTTTCACATTTAGGCTTAGTGTGTAGTCTATTTTTGCTTTAGAAGCATACTCACCCTCTTTATACGCTAATCAGAAAGTGCTGCCTTTTTCAGATGTCTTTTCAGATGTGAAATTTCCAGATTCGTTTGCACACGAATGAAAATCAAAATTTGACAAAGTTCAACATGTTTTTTGTACATGGTGGAAGTGTGGCCTTTATTTACGGAGGTAGTCCAGTAAATAAATTGGCCACATTTATGGGGCTAGGCCTATCGTACACATTACCTGTTGTAAAGCCAGACGTAGCCCAGGTTGGACGACGTCTTCATTGCATTACGGGTATAAATTCTACTAGTCCCATAAATGTGACGGAAATACTGGACTACGGAGGTAGTTCAGTACTTCCGTCACATTTATGGGACTAAAATTCTACCACCGTAGCGAAAAAATTATAGCACATTTTTTTCCATATTTTTACATGACGAAGGAAGCTGAAATTTCGCTTACATATTCCTTGTGTCCAGAATTGTGCCTGCGCTTGGTTTAGAAAAGGCAAATATATGTACGCGGGTGGCATGTTTACCGAAAATAAACCGCAAGTTGAAGTTCTACACTTTCATTGAAAACATTTTCAGGAGGAACTCCCCGCGTGAGGACGTACATGCGCGTGCCGTTTGCTGCTGCTTGCTGGCGTGGCCGCAGCGTGCTAGGTGTGCATGCACGCGCGTGCATAATCTTCACACGGGGAGTTCGTACTGAAAATGTTTTCAACGAAAGCGTGAGATTGCGGTTTATTTTCGGTAAACACGCTGCCCGCGGACATATTTGCCATTCCTAAACCCAGCGCAGGTACAATTCTGGACACAAGGAATATGTAAGCGAAATCCTTTAAGCCTCATATAGTTAGTGCAGCAGAAGTGCATCAAACAATCGTCGGGTGTGCGCCACGCCATGCAGTTGGCAAGACAGTGTGACTGGTGCAGATATTTCCAGCCTCCCTCATTGCGTGTTTATCACAAAACCTTTGCATGTTAACACGTTATCTGACGCGAACTTTTTAACTTTAAACAAGTTGAATTCACAATTTAGAGAGTGAGTCCGTCAGTAAGTCAGGTACAAAGACTATCGCAAAATGAAGTAAATACACATCTGGCACAACACTGAAAAAATCCCGAAGCAAACAAGTTGGTGCAGTGTTTGAAGTGTATGCGTTGCCAAGGTTACTATTCAGATACAGAAGTAGCATTAAGACTTATACACAGGGTTCCAGCATCGAATTTATAGACTAATACCTTGTGGATTTTTTTTTTAAAGCCTTTGCTTGGAGCTGATGGGTATCTTGCCAAACAGTGTGTAATTTGAGGTGTGCATAGAAGTTTCCCCCTTGTGCTTTGGAGTCTGTGATGACGACTACATGGTATCGTCTAGCAATGGCACAGAACCAGTACGCCCTGTCTGAACGCCTCATCCGTGCCATTAGCGGCTGGACCATGAACCCACAGGTACAGTAACATACTCAATTTAGAGCATTTTACCAAGCCTTACTCTGCATGTACATGTACCGGTACATGTAGTCAGAGCCTTCCACTGCCAAATAGTCTTGGCCCAAGATTGGCTTTGCATGTTGTTTCCCAAGCCCTGGCCTGTTTGTCACAGTGGGGCCTTGTTGGCACCCTCATCAACAAACACCATGCATGTATGTTTTTGTACACTTCTGCCAGTGTCACATCCCAGGTCTTCCGTGGCCTGCCTCGTGGTCTTGGACCCACTATTTCAAAGTTCCATGCCTTCTTCAACCAATGGTTTTCTTCCCTTCTTGCTATATGTCCAAACCATCTCAGTCTGCCTTGCCTGATCTCATCTGTTATCTTCATCAGACCCTTGGATTGCCGGAGGTCTTCACTCCTCCTTTTCTCATGCAGGGAGGTCTTTCATATCCATCTCACCATCCTCATCTCTGTCCGCTCCAACCGCACCATAGGTCGTGCATATCTGTTATGCACGCGGCGTACACTTTGCCTTTTACTTTTGGCGGTGGTGCTCTGGAGGTCAGGAAGGGGGCCAACTCACAAAATTATTTCCAACCACTTCGTATCCTTGCTGTTGCTGCAGCCGCCACCCCTCCCCCAGCATCTATCATATCACCTAGATAGCAAAACCTGCTCCCAGATTCATAGTCCTCACCACGTAGCCTCAGATATTCCCCATTACCGATAATGCTTCTTTGTGGCAAAGCACCCCAGTACCTCTTGCACACAAACACTGCAGGCTCCTGGTGATTCCGCTACATACACACTCAACTACATAATACTACATGAGAACCACCCCTCAGGGAAGCTTTGCTTTAGCTCCAAAAAAATATGTTTACACTACCTTTGCTTTCATCACGAAATCATAAACCCCAAAACATTCAAATTTTATACTCCATAACAGTGGATCCATAAACGCAAGCCCATCCCTGGATTATTCCAACTTACAGCTTGAGAAATTCCTGAGTTCTACCATTTGTGCATAGAGACATTTTGTATGAAGCAGCTCTTATTGTTATCATTAGGACTGCATCTATTCTTTTTAGCATACAATTATAGCATTGTTTAATGATGTAAATCCGTTATCAGACATTGATTTCTAGCTATACAGAGGCAAGAGGCAGACTTGTATTTGAGTCACCAAGGCGACCAAGCATCGAGGCAGAGTCTGAGTCACCTCTCCGAGTCAAGCAGGTCGAGTCCGAGTCTGAGTTACAAAGGTTGAGTCCGAGTCTGAGTCACGAGTCACAAAGGTTGAGTCGCAGTCCGAGTCACGAGTCACAAATGTCGAGTCCGAGTCACGAGTCACCTTTAATATTATATTGGAAATAAATTTTGAGGTACTGCTAAAACTTCACCGTGTATTGTTTCCATTTTTTTCACACCCTTTCTCTAATTTAATTAATGAACTGGAAATTCATGAAAATCGTGTCAAATAAGGCAAGACACCAGTGTCTGGAAAGGATAATCTTGTACCAAACAGTCAAGCTTGCATTGACGCAATATCAAGTGTTTCGATACATTGATTTCCCAAATCAATATATCAGAAACAAGCCAGCCGCACGCGCTGTGTATGTACAGTACTCACATGTAGGGTTTCTTCTGCACCACACAGACTGTATCGCTTGCTCAGGAGAGGATCGTCTTCAAAATAATTTGTAATGGCATTGTTGAAAAAAAAATAAGTGATTTGTGGTCATTTTGGTCGAGTCCCGAGTCACGCAGGTCGAGTACGAGTACGAGTCATTTGTCATTGTGACTGGAGTCCGAGTCCAAGTCACAGAAAATGGGACTCAAGTCTGACTCCAGTCCGAGTCGGAGTCCCGAGTTGTACAAGTCTGGCAAGAGGAATCAAAATCTATCATTTGTGTCTGTTCACTATCTGTTGTTTCTTTGCAATCATAGGATACAGTTGAAAGCTTAATTGCTGAGGGAGCAGACATCAATCGAACACATGGAACCCTACTGCCACTTCACTGTGCGTGCATGTCAAGGGACAGTGAGTGCGTTAAATTGCTGCTAAAGAGTGGTGCTGAGGTACGTATGTTGTCTACTCCCCTCGGTCCCACCCCTACCTCCTCAACTCCACTCACTTGACCAGAGATTGTGCCTCTACCATTCTCAGCATCTTCATGAAGCCATAACAGTGTGCAAAACCAGTATCACAGGCCAAATGATAGGCTGCATCCGATTCCTTGACCACAGCTTGCAGTTACACGCACATCCATGGGAGGTGATTCAGCTGCTTCCATATGTGCATGTGTAAATGCTGGCTGTAGCCACAGGCCCGGATAACCCAATAGGCACAGTAGGCACTGTGCCTAGGACCTACACAAATTTTGGGGGGCCTTCAAAAAATTGGGGGGCCTACAAAAATACCGCAGTGTGCCATAAAACACATAATAGGCCTACCCACACCACACCCACGCACACAGAAAAGTTTTTTTTAAAGTTCTAGGGTCTCTGTCAGAATTTTCGATTTCACCAACTGACGCTAATGTAGACATACGTGTACATGAAGGCTATACAATTTATGTGTAAAGGATAATCGTTCTGAAGCACGGTGCCAACTGCCAACCATGGACGTTGATCGGTTGGGGGCGGGGGACATGTCTTTCCCCCAATTCTTTTCTTCCCTGAATAAATTAGTGTAGTCTACACTTGATTCTAAGCTCAGAATAGCCGATTCAATGACTCCAAACTCGAAAATGATGTTTAAATGATGATATTTTGCTAAAACCTTGCCAGTAGTCAGAAATTGCCTCACATCCCACCACAGACTGAGCGTCTAGAAACCATTTTTTTCCCGGGGCCCTAAGCGGGCCTTGAACCCCACGCCGTTTAAGCTTTGCATTCAAATAAGTTCTCATCAGGATACACATGTTTGTACCGAACCCCCCCCCCCCCCCCCCTTTGAGAAGCGATTGACGCCCTTTGGTGCCAACATGCTTTTAGAGCTAGGACCTATATACCAGTTTGGCCTGGCTTGATTTGTATAGTGCCTTGAATTTGGTGTCGGTGGCTAGGGCAGAGTAGGGCCTACGGAACACTGGTGCCCAGGGCCTGCGAAACACTTAATCCGGGTCTGTGTAGCCAAGGTACTTGATGCAACCATATTCCTTTAGGGTTGTCCATTTTCAAACAATTTAGTATTAAATTATTCTAAACTGCATTTGATATACATTCAAATATCCGAAACTCCTCAGTCAAGTATACACATGCTAATTGTAACTGCATGCCGTATCTGTCAAAGTGCACACAAGGTGCACTGCTTTTACTTTGCTTGCAGCTGTCAGTGTTGTGGGTGCAGCACTGGGTTGAAGTATTTTATAAATTGCTCAGTGGCTTTAACCTGCTTAAGTGATTGAAGCAATAAACCGCCGTCAACAAATAAGTTAATGCCAACAAAAAGTGGCATCTCACATTGAACGCAGCAACTTTACATTTAGAATAACATCACAGTCATGTGTCTACATGCATAGCTTTTTATCTTTCAAATATGCAAACCACCGTGGGGTCCTAGTAGCCAGATACTCAAAAAGTGCTAGCGCCGCTACAACTTCAGAAATGAGCCTCGTGCCGCAGAGTTATATCTCCTTCCGTTTTGTACTCCTTCCGTTTTTGTAATCCCGAAATAGAGATCTCTTATTCAAATAGAGTGTCGTTGATTTTAAATGTGTTCTATATTTAGATTGATGTCAATTTGTGTTCTAACTCAACTTATGTCACATTTTATTACATTAGTTGTGCAACATTTCTCGTTGTTCAACATTTCATTTATGACACATTTCATGAAAGTTTCACAGTGCATACTTCTAAGTTCGCAACTTACGCAACATATTATGGCGTTTCTTGCACAGCTATTTTAGATGGCGTAAGTTATGGAGTAGCAGCTTAAAATTGACTATTTTACTTTGTCATGGAGACTGTCACTACTTAACTTATCAAGGTTGAAACAAAAAACCCACAGTATTGTTTTTGAAGTTAATAGATTGCTGTTTTACATGTGACAAACTTTTTAGAGTTGCCGCACGATTCTGAAAGATGGCGGGCAGAGGTGATTCAATGACTGTTTTGTGCCAGAACAGATATCATACACTGATGTTGTAAAATGATCTAAAACGTTGCACAGCTACACCAAGTTTTGTAAATTTGATCAAAAGTTATTTGCAGCTGTGCAACAAATATGTTGCTTAGATCCTACGTATGGTGTGAACCAACTCACTGTTTCTTGAAATCGCCTGCTGCATTAGTTAAACATGGATGTGTTAAAGTGAGTTTGTTTCTGCATTCAATAGGGGACGTTGAACAATAGAGGACAATAGGGTCCCCAATTCCCGAGAGATCCCCAATTTGGATTTGTGTACAAAACATATGGGAGGTCTTCCTAAAAAGTACAAACAAAAGAGGGACAATAGGGGGTCCCTGATTGCAGGCAAATACACACTTGGGTGTACAGTGTGTATACATGTCATTGAAACATTAGCAAATTTTAGTTAGTTACTTTAGTTTTCAAATAAATCACATGGCTGATTTCTGAAAATGTTTTTTGGTAGTTTTGCTTTGTTGTTTGATTAAACTAGTGGATGCTTTTGTCTTGGATTGTTTCTTTTTTAAGGTCAATCGTGTTGATGGCTATGAACGCACTGCTATACACTACGCTGCAGAGAAGGACCCTGCATGTTTGTGTGTACTTTTAGAGAACGGCGCTGAGATCAATTGCCGGGATGGAAACTATGACACCCCGCTGCACTGGGCCTGCTTCCGTAATAATGTGGAGTGCGCAAAGTTACTCCTGGAGCACAATGCTTTGGTCGACGCGCTGGACTTCAATCACGACACCCCACTCAGTTGGGCCTCACTGAAGGGCAATCTGGAATGCATGATGTTACTGCTGGAGTACGGTGCTGAGACACACACTACCAACTGCAACGGCTTGTCACCGCTCCACCGCGCCTGCAGTATGTTTGCCCTGGGCCTGAGCGGGGAGCGAGACCGTCAGTGCTTGAACATCCTATCCCAGGCCACTGGACAGATTGACCTCAGGGATCACAAGGGTGAGTTCCCACGTGTCATCAATGATGATTCTGAACTCAAGGCCATCATAACGGGTATCTGCTGCTCACCTAGGCTCCTCCGTCAGCTGTGTCGTTATAAGATTCGTCAATCATTGATAGGTGGTAACAGACAGAAACTGATGGGGCAGCTACCCCTTCCAGCTCCTCTGCAAAGATACCTTCTGTTTCAGAATGGTGAATGATTTTTATGGCTAGTATAGTCTCAGCAGGCAAAATAAAAGCCCTAATTTTTTAACAATGCTAAAAGTACAATGTAGGTATAACCCACTTTTCAAAAGCTCATATATCCACACTTGTATTCGAGTCACCAAACATTGAGTCCCAGTTTGAGTCACCTCTCCCGAGTCTGAGGCCGAGTTCCGAGTTAAGAGTCACAAAGTTCAAGTCCGAGTAATTCGTAATCAAGACTTGAGTCCGAGTCTGAGTCAAGGAAAATGGGACTCGAGTCACAAGTTGTACGAGTCTACATATATCCAACTCCAATTCAGGTCATAGTGTCCCTATTGGATGACTGTGTATCCACCCCCTGAGAATTAAGGGATTGGGTACACTTTGTTTAAAATCAGTTGTACGTGTTCTACATAACCCCCGAGGACCGACACACAAAGGGAGAGCAACAGATCCATCAGTCCACGGGCGTTGGATCTTTTGTTCAAAAAGGGCCTCTGTAGTAAGTTTGTGTGCTTTGTCTATGGGAGAGTGTTAAAGGGAAACACAAAACATTGTCCTCGGGAGTATAGTAAAACACGACTGTATGCACCTACCTGCATGTATGTGCCAAAGGTGATCATATCAGTGCACACACTTTACATGTCCTTCACATGCTGGATGTCATGAGTAGTTCACACAGCACCAGCTACAAATCCTGTATGGTGACCACTTGCAAATTTTATACTTGAAATGTTACTCTTTTCTATTATCTGGTAATGAAACCAAGGATTCCTCAAAAGCGCCCTCGGCACTAGCAGCTTTAGCTCACAAGCCTGAAGAAACTATGGGCTCCATGCGCGAACAAAAGAGGGCGCCCTTTTACCTAGCAGCGACGTCCCACGGGCGGGACATTTCGCTGGTTGACGCGCACCATTCCTTGTGTGTGACGCACGTACACCAGGGGATTCAGTTGTACTATGTACACGCAGTGCTAGTGGTGGCCACGCGTCGCTGCAAAATTGCAGTCAGGCAAGATGGCGTCGGTCGGTCACCCCCAACTTTACTTTCTTTGTCGGTGAGGGGGTACTTGTTAACGGAGCGGATAGAGAGGAGACGATGAGAAGAAATGACCGTTCTAGAGGTGGGAGGAAAACCCCAGAAGAATATTTTGGGGGAAACCCACGGAATCAGGTAGGGACTGAAAATCCAATCCACATATTGGCCCATGAGACATTAGAACCCGGGTCACAGCGGTGGAAGGCAAGGGAAGTACCGCTACGCCAACCTGACTCGCCATCACAAAATCACTTTTGTTTGGAAAGAGTGTGCACACAGTATGCTTGATGGTCCCAAAAAGGCAGACAGTGAGAGCTACATAGTATGTCTACGTCTAATCATGCTAATTGAATTGCATTTCCCTCCTCCCCCAGTTCCGTTCGTCATTAGATTGTAAGTGGATATTTTCCCTGCAAAATTTGTGCGTATTTGCTACAATTGGATATTTTGTCTGGTTATTGGTTCTGTGGTTCATGTACTATACAAATTTTGAGGAATGCTTAAACCCCGGCAGGTTCAAACACTGCTCCAGTCAATTTCTTTGTTCAGCTTAAAACATTTTTAAACTCTGTAACTTCAGTTTGTGCTCATCAACCCAGTGTTTTATAGATTTTTTTTCAAATATAAATATAGGCTTCTCTTATCTTTAAAATCTGTTGCTTTTAATTCTTAATTTTTTAAACAATATTTTAGGAAGGTAGAGACGAGGCATTGCTACATGTACTTTACATGTGACTTAATGCTCCTTGAAAAAGAATGAAACGCTTTTGGGGATTTTGATATTCATTTTCTCGTTTTCATTGTGTTTTTCAACAGCCTTTATGTACATTTTAACCATGCTGTGATAATGCATTCCTTTTCATCTCAATTCAACTCGACAGTTTGTGACACACTTCTTTGGACGAATGGTTTTAAGTCAAAGAATACACTCGCAAGTGTGGATTGCTCATTTACGATTCACTCGATGCTGCTCGCCTCATGAATTCGTAAATGATGAACCTTCACTTTCTCATGTATTCTCCTTTACAAACGTACGTGTACCAGTACAGTTTTATGTAGGTATGTTTGGTTTAAATTTGGATTGCTCCTTCAGATAATTGTTATTTCTCGGGAAAGATTTTTATTTTCAGTTAAACCCTTTTGGTGAGTTTTTAATGCACAACCAACATTACCTAGCATCACAATAACAATACAGCATACAGTCGTAACCTTGGGACTCTTGTCTTTTTCGAAGAATAGTGTAGACAATCTGTTTGATAAACTCTAGTACTGCATAACAGTCCGAGTATATCTAGACAATAACATTTGCAAGCCATTCAACATCAGCCTAGTGTAAAGTGGATCTAAACAAGTTATTTTAGAATCGGTTATCAAAAATTAACTGGTCAGTAACTTTTGTTCCCAAACATTAACATACACTGTAATAAGTGGTTTAAACTCCTTGTCAAACATGTCAAATGATAATCTAGGCGTAAAGTGGATTTTAGGCCAAGAAAAAAAGGAAGAAATATTTTCTCGTCCAGTTTTTCTGAGAAAATAAAAGGATGTCAGTGGACCTTTTCTCCTCAAAGATGGCGGATGGATTCTTCCATTTTCTGAACTTTTAGTGTGCAAAGGAGCCATCACCCTTTCTACCAGATTTGAGATTGCATACACAGCTACAATTCTGCTGGAGACAACTTAAAAAACAAAACATATTGCCAATGCATGATTTTTAAAAAAGGAGGCAGAAGGGAAAAAAGGAAGCTGGTGGGAATGAGAAACTGTTTTTTTTTTAATCTTTGGTCTAAGGTATAGGGGCCTACATGTCAACCTCGTCCCCAGGGTGTCGAGCAGTACGCGCCCACCACTACCTGCTCTCTCACCCTGGTATTGGATCATTTGCATGTGCAAGATTTTTGAACACGTATGCAAATGAGGAATAGTCTGGTGCCTGCCTGTGTGTTACATTTACATTTGTTTTTGTATACGGTGTCTGGGGTTAAAACAGAATCAATTTGTCGCAGCGTGAGCATAGCGTGAGTTACGAAAACACGATTTTATTTTAATTAAACTGTTACGTTCTTAACGAGACAACATTCAGTATCACATTTCATATTGATATTAACAAATTGGAAGGGAAATGAATATTTTCGAGAAGGCGTGGACGAATGATCGCGAAAACACGTACTGCATGTTGTGAATAATAACACCAAGTACACGATATAAATCCATTTCTAACCAATTACGGTATCGAATCAAGATACAGGAAGAAAGTTTCCTATCTAGGGCTTACTATTGGAAGCGAGGTTGGAAATAAAGTAAGCACTGGGGACGAGGTTGCCTACATGTAGTTTATTTATAAAGCATCAGAGTCAAACCTTTGTCCATATTAACTTCTGTAAGATCCTATAGCGCCGTAGGCGTGAATAGTCATTTATTTACCTTAATATCTCCTTCATTACTGGATATTAAATGTCATATTTAAGAATTGTTGGCATACATTTGGGTAGTGAGTATTGAAGAGTACACTTAATGTACCTAATTAAGAATTGCCGTCATATATGCTGCAAGTCACTTTATTTCACGAGTACCAACCATAAATTATAGAAAATCCCACGCATGATTTTAAAAAAAAAGTCTATTAGGATTATATTGGTATTGGGTATGCAGGGTTGCAATGTATTTAGGGTGTAAATAAAACAGAGGAACTAGAGATCAGGGAAAAGAGTTTGATGTGTTTGCTATTTCGTTATCCTTCATGAATACATTGCACATTTGTAATTATGCAGCACGAAATTACAGTGATCCAAGGCCAGTAGACCTACATCTCTTACGTTTGGTTATATCGTGTGCATGAATACTGTCATTTTATTGGTCTAAAACGGCCACGTATCTGGTTTACAAAAACCCACGTACTCGGGTGATGTCACACTGCGTGCGTTGATGCGCGTGTGCATCCAGCCGGCGCGCTAGCTTTGCGCAATGAGAACTGCAAATCAAACGCTCAGTTTCATGTCCAGCAAATGAAAGCCTTCATCAAGGTTACATCGCAGTGATTTAATTTATTTCTCACAGTAACTTTAATATAACCATTTGTCTTTTTGAGTTATTGGCACGGTGTAACAAAACAATTGTTGACTGCTGTGATGTGGGATGTGCCGTTTTTAACCCCTTCGGGGCGTTCGCCTCGGGTGCCACGCCCCTCGGGTGTTCAAACCGTCATGTCCCATCCACATCACATGTCCACAGCAGTCAACAATGGAGTACCGAAGTGTGACGTCATTTAGAGCCAGAAAGTGTAGTGCACACGAATGGAGTACGCGCGCGTGTTCACGGGCGGAATCACGAGCCAATGTCTTTCACACACATTTTGCGCGTGACGTATTCACTTCGGTACTCCATAGAACATGACGTATTAGAACAGTGTGCGGTTAATATTTCACCCAGAGGCCTTGCAGCTCAAGATTTTAGTGCTAAGCATGGAGCTAACACATGTGCTAAGGAATGTTTTTCTCACAACGAACGAAACTGAGCGATTTTCAGTATTCAAAAATAAATACAAAAGACCCATGGCCATGACCACTCCCTGTAGGCGCAATTTTCCCCAGCATTCTGCGCTTCTGATCTGTTGTACATGTAGGTCTATATACATGTACGTCATTATACCACCCACTGTGTGTGTAGTGCCTGGCTTACTGCGCTTGCGCTCGGAATTTACGCACTTTAGGCCCCCAAAAAAGGCTCCGGTTTCTGGTATACGCGCGCGTCGCCGTAGCCATGCGCGTCGGCAAAATGAAAACGTTTTTTGTCAATGAAAGATGATGTCTCAAAACCGCCAAACTCACTGGTTTGACTGGAATCCTGCTGCTGCACAATTTTAACGTGTTTTTAGATTGGGTTATGGTCGAGAATAAGCTTTATGTGGCCTCTCTGGACTCCCATATACATGTATTTGCACTGAGTTTAGTCGGGCACCATTTGCAGTCATCAGCCGACATTTGAAGCAAAAAAAATGAGGTAAAAAAAAAAAAGCCGCGTCGCCGCACC